GTGAGTTTTTTAACCTTTAAAAAAGATCTCCATTTCATTTTAGAATATATTGTTCCTTGCAGAAAGAGTCATTGTTTTTGGTACTAACACTGAGATGTTGGCACATGCAACTCTAATCTGTATGCATCTGTTTATTGCTAGTCATAATCGGTTGCACTCGGATCCTCAGCACCTGTGTATGTCTATAAAGTCATTGGGTAGATGTCAGTGGTAATGTTTATCACCTCTACTAATTAACATGACATAAATTTCCATGCTTCCTCCTCAAATATAACACATTTTAAAACATTTATTGACTTGTGTGTGTGTGTGTGTGTGTGTCACACAGAACATCCCAAACCATCTCATTCGACTATACACCCACTTCCCAGATGGCGCCGTCCCATAGCCTCCCTCCCCCGACTTGTTCTATTCATTTTTAATTGAGAAGAAATGCTTCCATTATTGTTCGGTATTCTAATAGTGTACATGAAAAGTCTTCTATCTACATGAAAAATCGCAAAATCATGAAGCAGCCCCATTCTGGTGGCCTAATGCCACATAATTCCATAAAAGAAAATACATCCTTTTCTGCACACAGTCCCATAGCCTCCCTCCCCCGACTTGTTCTATTCATTTTTAATTGAGAAGAAATGCTTCCATTATTGTTCGGTATTCTAATAGTGTACATGAAAAGTCTTCTATCTACATGAAAAATCGCAAAATCATGAAGCAGCCCCATTCTGGTGGCCTAATGCCACATAATTCCATAAAAGAAAATACATCCTTTTCTGCACACACAGTTTGATTTTCCTCTTGGACCTGGGATTCTACCACAGAGACTTATTTACAAAAGTCATAGTGTTTTGGAAGTGCCTAGCCTAGTCAACCTTGCCTATAGGATAGAGGATCAAAGAGTAGTTTAAAAGAGAGAAAGAGGGGCTGGGACCTACAGGGGTCTTGATGAAAGCCCAGGTGTCCTGTCCAGAGTGCTGCCTGCCCTGGACAGTCCCACACACTGGATTGAGGTTTAAAATCTTCTAAGAAAGCGTGCCCAGGAGAGAGGCCCTGTCTGGAATCTGGGTCCACTTGCCTAGGTCAGGGAGGAACTATACTAGGGCACAGAATGTGAGTATGCTTTTCACACCATTTGTTACTTGAAGTAGTTTAGGGGTTAATTCTTATAAGGTGTGCAGTGTATATGAGTAAACTTCAGAAATGGGAGTTTGTTGCTCAGAAGCCACAGGCGTCTTACCCCATATCTCTGCGTTGCCAGCATCTCCTTTCCCCCGAAGTCACCCATGGTGGCACCCCACCCTCTCTCTTCATCTTAACCATTTCTTTCATCAAAGGACATCAGAATAAATTCTGGTCCCTTATTACTACATTATAGATTGATTTAGTCCAACCACACCCGGCTATTATGTCAGAATTGGTCTACTTAAAAAGCCATCAGAACTTTTTACAGAGAAAACTGTATCTGGTAGGCATGTCCAGGCCAACTTAAATGTCTTAATTTATTTTATGTTGTGGCAAGATCTCAGACTGGCCAAAATCTTGCTTTGTAGCTGAGACTGACTCTGAACTCCTGGTCCTCTTGCCTCTGTCTCTCAAATGTTGGGATTATAGGCATGTGCTACAAAGTCCAGCCATGCAAGGCTCTTGGACATTTCATCAGACTATCCTCCAAAAGGCCCAGTGTACCTTGTTACCAGAAGCATGGAAGAGATCTCCTTTCCTTGTACATTTGTGGATGGTGAATTTATTCTTTTATAAAAATCAGCTAGTGTGATAGACAAAAATCCTAATGTGTTCTGTAAGAACACATGGGAACTGTCTTAGCAAAAACATTAGTTTTTGCAGCAAACTTATTACACATTGTTTTGCAAATTATCTATTTAGGTCATTTACTTACTTGTTTATCTATTTATTATTTATTTATTTATTATTTAATTTTTTTGTCTTTTTGAGACAGGGTCTCCTGTGCAGCTCCAACTGGCCTGGAACTCACTATGTAGACCAGGCTGGCCTCAAACTTACAAAGATTCACCTGCCTCTGCCTCCCAAGTTCTGGGATCAAAGGCGTGTACCACCATACCCAGCTCATATTTATCTATTTAAAATTGTGTGCTTTCCATGTACTTATATGAGCTTATCATAACCTTGAAGATACTGGCTATTTTTTGATCTGTGTTTATAGGAAACAGTTTTATTTTTAATTGTTTGCTTCCCTTTAAGCTTTGGATAAGTTTATCCTTTGATAAACAAATTTCAGATTTTTAAAAATAAGCACTTTTCATTTATAATTTATACCTTTCTCTTGGCACTTAAAAAAGTGTCATCTTGCCGGGCTTGGTGGTGCACGCCTTTGATCCCAGCACTCGGAAGGCAGAGGCAGGTGGATCTCTGTGAGTTCAAGGCCAGCCTGGTCTACATAGTGAGTTACAGGACAGCTGGGGCTACAGGGAGACCCTGTCTCAAAAAGACCAAAAAATAAATAAATAAAATAAAATGAAGTGTCATCTTATGGTCTGGAGAGATGTTTCTGTGGTTAAGAGCACTGACTGCTCTTGCAGAGGACCCAGGTTTGATTCCTAATACCCACATAGCAGCTAACAACCCTCCAAAACTCCAGTTCTGAGGGAATCTGACACCCTCTTCTGACCTCCGCTGGCATTGCCATAACACAGGTGTACTTACATACATGCAGACAATACACTCATACACAAAAAGTAAAATTAATAAATAACTTTTTAAAAATTTTACATGCTGCTGTGCAAGCCCAAGCCAGACACAAACCCTGTATGGTTGAGTGTTGTGGGCAAGAAGCTACAGCCCTAGCTGAGGATCTATTGGCGATTGATAGCTGCTGGGAGAGGGAGAGTCAGTGTTTTAAAGGATGTGATGCCTAGTAAGTTGACTAGACTCCAAGGGATGGATCCACACTCAAGAACATTTGGAGGACACAAATTAGATTCAATAGGCCTTTAAAAATGTAAAAGAATAGGGGCTGGAGCCATGGCTCAGTGGTTAAGAGCACTGACTGCTCTTGCAGAGGACCAGGGTTTGATTCCCAGCACCCACATGGTGGCTATGAACCATCCTTAACTCCAGTTCCAGGGGAATCCAAAGCCCTCTTCTGACCTCCACAGTATTGCACGACACAGGTGCAATAATAGAGGATGTGAAATTGGGTAAGGGAAAGTGGAAGGATGTAGGATAGAGATGGGAGATGGGGAGGGGAATATAATCAAAATACAGCGTATGAAAGTCTCAAAGAGTCTATAAATCTCACTGATTTACCAAACATGTGTTAAATAATCCTGGAATCCAAATTCATGTCTTTAATAAATAACTTCCCAATTCATCTTCTTTCTTCTTTAATTCATGGAAAAAAATTCTTGTTGAACTTATTTGCAATGTTCCTTGCCTTTGTTATATGTGACACAGAGGAAGGAACTTGTGTCTTGGTCCCCTCATTTACAAAGAATGGCTTACTAGACATTTTATTCAGTGACAATGACTTTCTTTTTTTAAGAGAAGGTCTTCCGGTTTAAAGCCCATAGGAGACTCAGACTCACATTGAAGCCTCCTTCCTCAGCCTTCTGAGATCTAGAATTACAGGCATGCGCCATCACACCCAGATCAGTGTGGAACTATATAGTATTTCTTTATTTAAGATGTAGGGTTCTTTTGTTTTTGTTTGTTGTTGTTGTTTGTCCAGGTGTGGTGGCACATGCAGAGGCAAGCAGATCTCTGAGTCAATGAGACTCTGTCCAAAATAAATTTTTTTCTGTTTTATATTTTAGTTTTTACAAATCCCTACTTCTTGGTTGATAGGAAGTATTTTTATTAGTCAATGAATAAACTGTGAATCAAAATTACTATTAGTTTTATTTCTTAAGTGACAAACTGTTTCAATAAAACAATTACAACTAAAAACACCTTCAGTGTTTGAAGTTCACATTCATATAACACAATGCACAATATTTGTGAACTACTCCATTGATTATTTTATAGCTCGGGCTGAGGGGCAGGGGCAGGCAGAAGTCCTGAGGCAGCTAAGTGACCAGAGGACTTCTGTTCGTATTTCCTTCATCTGAGAGATGGAAGCCAGTTTTTATTCCCAATACAATTCTTTTTTTAAGCATGCCTTCTTCACTTCTCATGTTAAACATTAAGGATGACGTGCAAACTAAAATTAGCCTCATTACTAAGTTGAACCTCTCCTGAACTCTTACTTGGCTATATTACAACTTCTACAATTTCCTCATTTAAAAAAATCAGGTTTTAGCCGGGCGTGGTGGCGCATGCCTTTAATCCCTGCACTCAGGAGGCAGAGGCAGGCAGATCTCTGTGAGCTCAAGGCCAGCCTGGTCTACATAGTTCCAGGACAGCTGGGGCTCTGTCTCAAAAAGACCAAAAAAAAAAGGGCTTCAATGGACTGGTCATCCAGTTTGCTTTTCATTGTGTTTTCTGGGCTCTTTTTTTCCCTTCCTTTCTTTCCTTCTCCTCTTATATCTTTAATTAGAGAGTATCTTTCTGTAGACATTATGAAGAGTAATTTCTCTTAATAATGGATAATTTGTTGCATGAAATTAATAAAAAATTCTGTAGGGAATTTTTTATGTAAAAATATTATACTCAAGCTATGTTCAGACACCATTAGCTATGATCACTGTCCATCACTGAAAAGTCCAATGTTCAGAAGAATAAACTACATATGCTAAATATTTGCTATATCAAATATGAAACACAAGCCTTCTGAATGATCTCCCAGTGAACGCCAGGCCTTGAAGGAAAAGGGCCACGGAAACTCTGGTTCTCACATTAGGGACAGCTTCACCTGGTGATGTGAGCTCCTTAGGTAACTGTCTGTACTAGCCACTTCATGTACTTTAATCACTGTATAAAGACTTCAGAGAATATGGGGTTGGAATTCAGTGAGACGCACACAGGGATGGTGCCTGGAGGCTGAGTTGACCCAGCTCTTCAGGGCTGTAGCACCTGCTGGCTAGCAGAGACTCTCTCCCTAATGCCTCATCTTTATTTGGCTGCAGAAAACAGATAAACACCCCCCCACACACACACACCAGACAACGTGCTCTTGTAGGTGCTGGATCCAAATCCAAGAAAGAAAATTTATCCCTGATGAAAACCTTAAGGTTGATGTTAAACTCAAAATTTAGGATAAATGAATTGAATGTGATGTTGCTTTGCTAATAACATCAGAAAAGTGATGTTAAAATTCAAGGATTTTACTTCAATGATACATATAATTATACTGGGAAGAGCTGCAAAAGGAGTCTAGTCTATCTGGGGGAGGCAAGCATCAACACTGAAATATCTGTGACGTCAGTAGAGTATCCTTTGCTTGATTCTGTAGAACCACGGGACTTTAATGTTTGACGTTCTGTCATCTTGTGCACACATGCATCATGAAAGCATCAAGATTCTAAGATATCTATATCAATATGATTCACTTGTCAGCCAAAGAACCTAACATTAAAATTCCTTAGATTTTTTTAAGTGAGTTTTGTCTCTCAACGGTGACATTGGAAAGTGAATGAGGACTGTAAACCTTAACTAAAAACACCTAAAATCTTTTTTTAAACCTAAAACATACATATATGAATGATTTGTAGATTTGAATCCTTTATATCTTTAACTCAATGTCTCACATTGAATTCAAAATATATAAATATAAAACTTTTTGAGAAAATACTATTTTTGTGAGACATAAGTGGGAAAAAATGTGCCCAGAGAAAATGTTCTTACACTGTAATGCATGAGCATATTCAACAAGGAGATTCAGTCACTGGGGTCATGCCTTCAAAGTTCTATTTAGCCTATATACCATTTCATTTCTAAGAGACAAGATATTTTTAAAAGAATTAAGAACAATGAAAGGCCACACTCAGGAATCTGGAAATGCCTTGATGATGGATTCATAAGCAGGTGGAGGAGCAGTGGAAAGGCCCATGCGCAAGCTGTTGCTGGACCAGCGGAAGTCCGGCCTGCTGAGATGGTGGGAAGCCGGCGGGATGGTGGAAGCAGGCAAGGTCATCAGCTGGCTCTCAGTTTCCACAGGAAGGGGCGGGCATTGCAGGAAGGGGTGGAAAGTCGAAGCCCTGAAGCTTGATTTTCTGGGAAAGGAATTTGCCAGTTCCAGGGAAGCTTGTCGCTGGAAAGTCAGACTGGCTAAGCTCAGGTTGCTCCGACGTTCACAGCCACTGTGGCGGTAGAATCCAGTTCTGTTGAGGCCGTGGTTGTAGGAGGACCGGGTTCGCCTGGTTGAACTCCACTGTGAGATGGGAGCGCTGGCTCTTCTTCTTCGAGACAGAAAAACGAACAGCGCCCAGACAAATCCTCCAATTGCGAGCCCAATTGCCACGGATACCGTGAAGGACATTATAAGGTCCTCTGAAACAAAGACGCAGTCAATAAACCATTAGTTCAAAATTTAAAGACATTCAGCGAAAAGCACAAGGCAGGATACAAACTGTAATGCATGGAATACATGCTGGTTTTCAACAAACTGCATTATGGAAATGGAGAATCAGTGGTGCTAGGTAGCTGTGAATAAGCGACCATGATTCCACTACAAAATAACATGCCACCTAAACAGAAGGATACAAAATAACGTTCGTTGAGGTGGGCTGGAGCGTTACTGCGGTTCCTTCATCATCTTTTGGGGGAGGGGGCAATATCTCCCTCCTTGAATGCACTTCAGCTCAATTTTTCTTAGAGCCGCAGATGTGCAAAGATCATTTCCTTTTGAATTACAATTGTAACTAATGTGCCCAGTTGCTAAAGAATTTCATCCTCACTTTGAGCTTGCCTTTTCCTCATCTGCTCTCCTCTGTCACACTGATTCTGCCACCTGCGGTCCTAATGGTGTCTCACTTCCTGTGCCGATTCTGAGCTAGGAAGCAGGGATAGGACCATCTGGAGAGCTGATTGATATATGTTATATTTCTGGAGTTCTCAGACTCTCAGACCTCCAACTTTATGCTGACTTGCCCATTGTGGTCAACCAGGCTCTTTCCTGTTCCCCAAGTTCCAGCTCATGCCTCTATCTTGTCCGTGCTGTGATAATGAAATGCTCATTTCCACTGCACATCCACCGATATTCACTGATTTACGGAATGTGTATTTGTTCTGATTTCTTCTTCTGACAAGCACATATATGCATATAATTTTACCTTTTCCCTTTGTGACGATGGTACCTGTCTGTCTTGCAAACTGAAAGAACTGCAAACATAATTTTATTTGGTTTTCAAAAATATATTATTTATTTTTTATGTGAATGAATGTTTTGCCTGCCTGTAAGCACACCCCATGTTATGCAATGCCTGCATAGTTCAGAAGAGGATCATAGAACTGGAGCTATGGAGGAAGGGTTGTTTGTCACCATGTGGGTGCTGGGAAACAAACCGCATCATCTCCCAGCGCAGCCAGTGCTCTTAACTGTTGAGCTATCTCTCCAGTTCTTACAAGCATATTTTGAAAGAAAGGAATGGGGCAGCCAAGCCCCTACTTTGCATGAAAAACCCCTGGGATGTTTGAAGATCTTTCCAGCTCACTACACACCATATTCCCCACCCTCCACTCCACAATCCAACCTACAAACTGTGCTGTGGGTTTGCTCCCTTTCCCAGAGCCTGTCATTCATTCTAAATCTCTGTGCTTTCCTATGCAGTTTTCCTTATATCTTTAAAAACTACATGTTTTATTTATTTATCTATTTTTATTTAATGTGCATGAATGTTTTGCCTGTTTGTATGTGCACCATGTACATACAATGCCCACAGAGGTCAGAAGAGGGTGTCAGATTTGGAATTACAGACATTAGTTAGCCACCATGTGCGTGTTGGGAATTGAACCTGGATCCTCTGGAAGAACAGCAAATGTTCTTAAACACTAAGCTCTCTCTCCAGTCTCAAAAAATGTGTATGTTCACATATATGATCATATATATTATATATATATATATATATATGTTAGCCAAGTTAGCCAGGCAGACAAAAAGAAGTACAATGCTCTTACATCTATGTCTCTGACCAAGAACCTGCTGTCCTTGATATGGGAATGGAGTGAGTAATTCTAGGTCTTTCAGTTGCTTGCCAACCCCATCTGACCATGAGACATACAAAAAGACTAGCGGAAAATCCATTTTGCAGATCCCGTGCCAACCTGCTGAACCACAGTATCTGATTATTCTTTTAACTGACTATATTTTGGGGTGAATTATTATTAGCAGATGTTCATTGATTCTAGATTCATACACTTGTAAACTCAATCCAATCCTTCATATGGTGAATGAATTTAGGGCAATTTGTTTAGCCTCATTGATTTCAGTTTTCTTAAAGGAGGGAGTTAGGTTTCATTCTTGCCAAGTCTCTTGCTAGCTAATTGTCGTAACATATAGAAAACCTGAAATGCAGAAATAAAAAACAAATCAGTGTCAATAAATATATAAGAATAATCATAGGCTGACTATATTTATGCACGTCTTTAATCCCAGCACTCAGGAAGCAGAGGCAGGATGATCCCTGTGAGACCGAGGCCAGCCTTGTCTACATAGTGAATTCCAGGGCAACTAGGGCTGCAGGGAGACCCTGTCTCAATCCCTGCTCTCCACAAAAGAAATAATCACTACTGCCTATCTTTAGGACTTATGTTAGAGTCTTTCCATCATCTATTGCTACATGTGGCAAAGCTGTATTTGTTAGTACAATCTTCAAAATAATGACATCAAAATGTTATAAAATAATGTTTTACACCAAATCTAAGCTATAAGTTTTCTATGATGACTTTTGGATTGTAAGATGATTTAAGACCGGGCTATTAAGTTCAATATCGTTGTTCCAAAATCTTCCTAATAAAAATAAGCCATAGTCTTAAAGTTTGACCTTCTTAGAGATTTCATAGAATTAAATACTCTAAGGAAATCAGATAAACATAAGTGGACCTTAAGTTTAATCTTACTTTTGTTCAATACGATTCACAATTAACTTTATCAGTGTCCCAACAATAGTCTTCCATAAGATTTTTGACATTTTTTTCTGACCCATCTACTCTACATAATTTAGAAAATAACTTAATAACAACAGCAGCTATTGATCATACAAGTTTAACTTTTTCACATATATAATCTATTCTGGCAGGTTTCTGACAAATTTTAGGAGCTTTTTTTTTTTTTTTTTTTTGGTCCTTTTGAGACAGGATCTCCCTGTAGCCTCAGCTGTCCTGGAACTCACTATGTAGACGAGGCTGGCCTTGAACACACAGAGATCCACTTGTACACGTAAAATAAATTTTTAAAAAATTTTAAAAAAGCATTGTCTTAATTTTTAATTTGTGTCTACACAGCTAGCAAGTGGCTGGCACTTAAACCCTCTTTGAATTCTGACTCATAATAATAATAGTTGTACAATGTAGTCAAGCCATTTGACCTGCCTTGAACTCATAATATATACCATTGTCATGTGTTCCAATTCTAAAGTCCTAAAATTGACCATGGTTTTCAGTAAACATAATCAATAATTCCAGTTTTGTAAATGGTATTAAAATTTAGTAGAGGTCACCATCTAGTGGGCCTGAGTTGAACTGATTAAAATACTCAAAACTCTGCAGTTAGTTGTAAGGATCATAAGCTCATCTCCCCAAAAAGTAGGCCGTGTGGCTCTCTATCATATATACAGGAGGATGTTTCAAACAATAGCAGTATTTTGCTGAAAAAAATTTAGGGGGAAACAATATCTAGTGCACAGAAACATGAATACTTACAATCAGTTGAATATTCAAAGAATAAATAATCTCTGTATTTATCACATCAGCTGGAAAATCCTCTTGCATTCAGCAACAACTACAAAACAGAATTCAACATCTTGCTGTCTACTCTGCTGCATCTCCAGTACCACCATCTGCACCTGGGCTATCGCAACACCTTGCCAGGCAAGCTTCTGGCTTCTGAATTGACAGCCTGGTCCATATCCAACTGCCCTGTTTTCAATAAAGTAGTAAGTCCAACCATATCTCACTACTGTTCTAAACCGCCACTTCTTCAGAGTAAAAGCAAACTCCTAGAAATGATCTCAAAGCCCCCACCTGGGGGTCCCCTATCCCCTAAGGGTGAACTCACCCCTCCATTCTTCCTCTGGGCCCCTTGGTTCCATCCACTCTTCTCTCCTTGTCATTCCTTAAATGTACCAGATATACCAGGTATGCTTTTGAATTAGAACTTTGCCCTGGTTGTAATCTAGTCTTTAAAACCTATCTCTGCAGTTGTTCACCTGGTCCTTTTCTCTTTTCCTTTTCTTTTGTATGAGCCAACTTTTTGTGTTAAGGCCTATCCTGGCCACTCTTTCCAAAATTATTTCCAAAATTGCATCCTATACCACTTTTTGTGCCTAATTTTAACTGCCCCCCACTTCATAACTAGAAATTGGGTTCATTAATTTATACTTATATTTAAAAATACATTATATTTAAAGATAAGTAGATGACAGCCCTAGGGAGGCAGAGGGAGGTGGATCACTGTGAGATTGAGGCCACCCTGGTTTACATCGTGACTTCCAGGTAGGCTGTGACTAGAGAGACCCTGTCAAAAAAAAAAAAAAAAGAAAAAAAAAACCAAACACAACAGCAACAAAAAAAAAAGTAGATGCATGGGCATTACAGGTCATTGTTACTATATTTCGAAGGTAAGAGGCTAACTTGTATTCGGAATAGTAAGAAGAAAATTCATGAAAGAAATAAAACTTGAGCTGCCACTTTGAGTGGGTTTGGTGGACAAATAAACACAGGCTTGGAAGATTTGTAAGTGGTTCTGTCCCGACCTACTTTATCTCAATTATCAGGACATGGAATAAACATGAATGTCCATCTGATGAGTGGATCAAACATGTAACATATATAGTCGTGAGTCACATAATGATGCTTTGGTGAGTGGCAGATCCTAGATATGACAATGGTCTCAAAAAGACTGTATCACCTAGCGCTTTCAAAGCCATTAGTTTGTTTGACAGTCTGTGATATTTGCATGGCAGAAATTCCGAACAAGGACGGGAGAGATGGCTCATCAGTTAAGAGCACTGGCTGCTCTTGCAGAGGACACAGGTTCAGTTTCCGGCACCCACACGATGGCTATAAACCATCCATAACTCCAGATCTAGGGAATCCAATGCCCTTTTCTGACCACCGAAGCATTGTTCAACACGGGTGCACTTACATATATGCAGGCAATACAATCATACACATAAAATAAAAATATAATAAATAAAATTTAAAAAGAAATTCCAAACAATGCAGCTCTTAGAATTGGTCTTCATTAGCACGTGGCTCTGTGTGTGTGTGTGTGTGTATCATATAATAATGGCATGTTTTTACTGAACCTAAAAAATCAAAAAGAAATCCTG